AAGGGGAACCCTCCTACACTGTTGGTGGGAACGCAAGCTGGTGCAGCCACTCTGGAAAACAGTATGGAGGTTCCTCAAAAAGTTGAAAATAGAGCTACCATATGATCCAGCAATTGCACTACTGGGTATTTACCCCAAAGATACAAATGTAGGGATCCAAAGGGGTACGTGCACCCCGATGTTTATAGCAGCAATGTCCACAATAGCCAAATTGTGGGAAGAGCCAAGATGTCCATCGACAGATGAATGGATAAAGAAGATGTGGTATATCATGCAGCCATCAAAAGGAATGAGATCTTGCCATTTGCAACGATGTGGATGGAACTGGAGGGTCTAATGCTGAGCGAAATAAGTCAATCAGAGAAAGACATGTATCATATGACCTCACTGATATGAGGAATTCTTAATCTCAGGAAACAAACTGAGGGTTGCTGGAGTCAGGGGTGGGGTGGGAGGGATGGGGTGACTGGGTGATAGACACTGTGGAGGGTATGTGCTATGGTGAGCGCTGTGAATTGTGCAAGACTGTTGAATCTCAGATCTGTACCTCTGAAACAAATAATGCAATATATGTTAAGAAAAAAAAAATTAGAAGATAGCAGGAGGGGAAGAATGAAGGGGGGAAATCAGAGGGGGAGATGAACCATGAGAGACGATTGCCTCTGAAAAACAAACTGAGGGTTCTAGAGGGGAGGGGGTTGGGAGGATGGGTTAGACTGGTGATGGGTATTAAAGAGGGCACTTTCTGCATGGAGCACTGGGTGTTATGCACAAACAATGAATCATGGAACACTACATCAAAAACTAATGATGTAATGTATGGTGATTAACATAATAATAAAAAATTTAAAAAAGAGAAAATTTTAAAAAATAAATATATCAAGTACTGAAATACTGAAAAATGTCTATGTCCTAGAGAGTCAAGAAAGAAATCAGGAAGCAACCACACTGGAGTTGTGGCCATAAGAAATGGTAGGAAAAGAGAAGGATTTCAAAGATATGAGGTAGAATGATCAGGATTTCCTGGTTAAATGAACGTGGGAGTGATGGTGAGGGGGGAATCGAGGACTCCCAGGTTTCTGGCCTGAGCAACTGGATGGATCATGGTGCCACTTCCTAAAACTGGGAACAATGGAAGACAACAATATTAGGGGAAGGATAAAAGGATGAGTTCAGTTTCGCGCATGTTGAGACTAACACACCTGTGAGTCATGCAAGTGATATTTAGAAGGCAGCTGGATATACAGGTCTATGGCTGAGAAAACAGAGGTCAGAGCTGGAGGCAGAGGTTTGGGAGTCACGGGGAAGACTCAGGAGAAATGCAGGGAGAGTAATAAAACCCATGGCAAGCTGCTATCACTTACAGAAAAAACTCAGAGTGAGAACAGGGTTTAGGGCTGAGCCCTGAGAGTCTTCACTAGTTAATGGCTGGGTGAAAAAGGAAGAGCTATAACAGAGAACATGCAGGGGCAGACTGGTTGGAAGAAAACCAGAAGGATGTTGTAATGTGGAAATCATGGAAAGAGGATCTCAAGAAGCAGAGAGCAGTCAACAGTGGCAAACGCGGCTGAGAGGCGACAAAGCTGGGGACTGAAAAGTATTCATTGGACTTAGTGACACAGAAGTCAGCATTGACCTTGACAAGAGCAACTTCATGGGAGAGAGGGCAGACTGGAGTGAGCTGAAGAGCAGGAGGTATGAAAAATAAAGACAACCAGGTAGATAGTTTTTTTGTTTTCTTTTTTTAAAGAAAGTAGAGATTTTCTTTTTTTTTTTTAAGGTTTTATTTATTTGAGGAGAGGGAGCAAGCATGAGTGGGGGAGGGGCAGAGAGGCAGGGAGAAGCAGACTGAGCTGGGAGCCCACGTGGGGACTCCACACCAGGACCTTGAGATCATGACCTGAGCCAAAGGCAGACACTCAACCGACTGAGCCACCCAGGTGCTCCCAGATAGATAGTTCTTAAGAGAAATTTGTCTATACAGAGGAGAAAAGCCATAGGGAATTGGCTGGGCTTGAGGCAGAAGTTTTTTATTTATTTATTTATTTATTTGACAGAGACAAAGCGAGAGAGGGTACACAAGCAGAAGGAGCGGGAGAGGGGGAAGCAGGCTTCCCTCTGAGCAGGGAGCCCGATGCGGGGCTCAATCCCAGGACCCTGGGATCATGACCTGAGCCGAAGGCAGACGCCCAACAACTGAGCCACCCAGGCGCCCCAAGGCAGAAGTTTTTTAAAGCTAAGGGAAACTAGACCTGTACCTCTGAAACAAGTAATACATTATATGTTAAAAAAAAGAAGATCGTAGGAAGGGAAAAATGAAGGGGGGAAGTCGGAGGGGGAGACAAACCATGAGAAACAAACTGAGGGTTCTAGAGGGGAGAGGGGTTGGGGGATGGGTTAACCCGGTGATGGGTATTAAAGAGGGCATGTACCGCATGGAGCACTGGGTGTTATACGCAAACAATGAATCACGGAACACTAACTACATCAAAAACTAATGATGTAATGTATGGTGATTAACATAACATAATAAAATTTAAAAAATACATAAATAAAGCTAAGGGAAACTAGCACATATTTAAATGGCAACAGGAAGTCGGTAGAAAGAGACAGGCTGAAGGGAGTAAGGTATTGACAGATAAACAGCACAAGGTTCCTGAGATGGTTCTAAGGGAGGAGATCCAGAGTAGAGATGAAGCAACAATGGGATCCCCTGTCCCCCGAGGGAAGAAGGACAGGATGCATATACATGTGTGTATGTGCGGGTGGGGAGTTGGGATAGTTTTATCAGATGAGTTCTAATTTCTCTGAAATTATAAAACATTTCACACATATGGAAAAAAGTCTATATAGAAAAGTTAGAGAAAATAACATAAAAGGCAGCTCTGTATCCATCAGTAAATGTAAACAGAGGTCAACAGTTTGCTGTATTACTTTAAAACTCTTTCCTAGAAGAAATAAAATGTTACAATCAAACCTAAGCCCTCCCCTTCCCTTCCTCATCTTTCCCTTCATCCTCAGAGGAAACCATTGTCTAGAAATTGGTGTCTATCATTGCCATGTCTATTTTCATATTTTTACTAAAGTACATAAAATACACAATGCTATGTGCTTTGTGCTGTGAGGTGCAAAGATACAGTAAAAGCCACAGACCAGAGTGACTTACCTACAAAAAATACACACATTAAAAGCTGCAAGGTCCAGGGCTGGCTCTAACTTCACCCCTGAGTCAGAGTCAGAGTCAGATCCAGGCTCAAGAGGAGGGAGGATGTGCAGGCGTTTCTCGGGAGAGATAATATTGTTCTGCTGTGCATACTCGAGAGAAAGGGATGGGTGACCTTCCTTGCCTCCTACCACAGGACAAGTCACTACCTCAAAGCATACACCCAGGAGTTTGGAAAGTGGTTGGACTGGACTCTGACATGGGCCTGAGAATCTCCAGGTGAAGGTGCTCTGATTATCTGCTTAAGGTGGTGGAGAGGTCACTTAGATTTCAACGAGGTGCCAACTAAGCACCCCCAAAAGGTAGAACAGGATAATTTCTTTGCATCTGTTTTTCAATAACAATCATTTTAAGTGACTTGACTTCAGGCATATCTCATTTATTATGCTTCGCTTTATTGCACTTTGCAGATATTGTGCTTTTTACAAATGGATGGTTTGTGGCAACCCTATGTGGAACGAGTCTATCGGCACCATTTTCCAACAGCATTTGCTCCTTTTGTGTCTCTGGATCACATTTTGGTAATTCTCACAATATTTCAAACTTTTATTATTATTATATTTGTTATGGTGATCTATGATCAATGATTTTTGTAATTGTTCTGGGGAACCACTCTCATATAAAATGGTATATTCAATAAATGTTGTGTGTTCTGACTACTCCACAGAGCGGCCAATTCCACTGCCACCCCCCACGCCCATCTTTCACCCTCCCCTGGGGCCTCCTTATTCCCTGAGACAAAATATTGAAACTAGGCCAGTTAATAACCCTACAATGGCTTCTAAGTGTTCTAGGGAAGGGAAGAGTCACACGTCTCTCACTTTAAATCAAAAGCCAGAAATGACTAAGCTTAGTGAGGAAGGCATGTCAGAAGCTGAGACAGGCTGAAAGCTAGGCCTCTTGTGCCAAACATAGCCACGCTGTGAATGCCAAGAAGTTCTTGAAGGAAATTAAAGTGCTACTCCAGTGAACACGCAAATGATTAAGAAAGTTAAACAGCCTTATTGCTGATATGGAGAAAGTGTTAAGTGGTCTGGATGGACGATCAAACCAGCCTTTACACTAAAGCCTAAGCCACAGCAATAGGCCCTAAATCTCTTCAATTCTGTGAAGGCTCAGAGAGGTGAGGAAGCTGCAGAAGAAAAGTTTGAAACTAGCAGAAGTCGGTTCATAATGTTTAAGTAACAAGCCATCTATATAACATAAATGTGCAAAGTGAAGCATCAGGTATTGACGTAGAAGCCATAGTAGTTATCCAGGAGATCTAGCTAAGATAATGCATGAAGGTGGCTACACTCAACAGATTTTCAATGTAGACTAAACAGCTTTATATTGGAGAAAGATGCCATCTAGGGCTTTCATAGCTAGAGAGAAAAAGTCTGCCCAGCTTCAAAGCTTCAAAGGACAGGCTGATTCTCTTATTAGGAGTTAATGCAGCTGCTGACTTGAAGCTGGAAGCCAGTGCTCATTTACCATTCTGAAAATCCTAGAACCCTTAAGAATTGTGCTAAATCTATCCTGCCTATACACTATAAATGGGACAACAAAGCCTGAAAGACAGAAGATCTGTGTACAACATGGTTTACTGAATATTTTAAGCCCACTGTTGAAAACTATTGCTCAGAAAAAAGTTTCCTTTCAAAATATTACTGCTCTTGGTCATCCAAGAGCTCTGATGGAGTTGTACAGTGAGGTGAATGTTGTTCTCATGCTTGTTAACACAACGTCCGTTCTACAGCCCATGGATAAAGTGATAACGTCAACTTTCAAGTCTTACTATATTAAGTTGCCAGAGAGAGTGATTCCTCTGATGGATCTGGGCAGAGTCAATTGAAAACCTTCTGGAAAGGATTCACCGTTCTAGATGCCATTAAGAACATTCATGATTCATGGGAAGAGGTCAAAATATCAAAATGAACAGGAGTCTGGAAGAAGTTGATTCCAGCCCTCATGGGTGACTTGGAGGGCTCAGGACTCCAGTGGAGGCAGGAACTGCAGAGGCGGTAGCAACAGTGAGAGGACTAGAATCAGAAGTGGTGCCTGAAGATGTAGGCATCTCATGATTCATGATGAAACTTTCACGGATAAGGAGTTGCTTCTTATGGATGAGCAAAAAAAAAAAGTGGTTTCTTGAGATGGAATCTACTGGTGAAGATGCTGTGAAGATGGCTGAAATGACAACAGAGGATTTAAAATACGACATACACTTAATTGATAAAGCAGCAGCAGGGTTTGAGAGGACCGACTCCAATTTTGAAAGAAGTTCTACTTTAGGTAAAATGTTATCAAACAGCACCACGTGCTATAGAGAAATTGTGAAAGGAAGAGTCCATTGATGTAGTAAACATCATTGCTGACTTATTTTAAGAAATTGCCACAACCACCTCAACCTTCAGCAGCCACCAGCCTGATCTGTCAGCAACCATCAACATCGAGGCAAAACCCTCCACCAGCAAAAAGATCATAACTCGCTGAAAGTTCAGGTGATGGGTAGCATTTTTTAGCAATAAAGTATTTCTCAACTAAGGTATGTACATTTTTTACGACATAATGCTACTGCACAGTTAATAGACCATGGTAGAGTGTAAACATAACTTTTATATGCACTGGGAAACAAAAAATTTCATTTGACTCACTTTATTGCACCATTCCCTTTATTGCACTGGCCTGGAATCAAACCCACAATCTCTCTGAGGTATGCCTGCACTCGGATTTAGGGGAAAAACTAAGGATAGGTCAATTACTGTAGTTGGAACTTCATATACAAAAACTAAAGAATTAGGGACACCTGGCTGGCTCAGTTGGAAGGGCATGTGACTCTTGATCTCCAGGCCATGAGTTCAAGCCCCATGCTGGGTGTAGAGATTATTTAAATAAATAAATATTAAAAAAACAAAACAAAACAACTAAGGAATTAAGGAGTACATTACTTTCAGAGCCTACAAAGTGCTTCAGCATTCCTCACCCTGGCAGAGCATTCCGTTTATGCAGTCTATGTAACTAAAACAGCAGTCTTTGCCTTCTTTTTACGAATAAATCACAAGTGGTCAGGCAGGACCCCTTCATCACAAATAAGAACCAAGGGCAAGTTCCTTTCTGTTCAGTTCTTACTGATTCAGAGCAAGTACATAACTCAGTTTGGTCAAACATTCTTTTTCTCAACACGTGGGTGTTTGAAAAATTTTATCAGTACTTTGCTTTTAAAATTCTCACCTAACCACAAATCCTCTATGCCACAAAGGAATTTAAAGGGCTATTTATTCACCATAAAAATTATAATTCAGTATTTCTCAAAGTGCAGCCCACTGATCTCTTGAATCAGAATCAGTTGATGAGGGCGCCTGGGTGGCTCAGATGGTTAAGCGTCTGCCTTCGGCTCAGGTCATGATCTCAGGGTCCTGGGATCGAGTCCCGCTTCAGGCTCTCTGTTCCTTGGGAGCCTGCTTCTCCCTCTGCCTCTCTCTCTCTCTCTGTCTCTCATGAATAAATAAATAAAATCTTTAAAAAAAAATCAGTTGATGTAATTTTTTAAAATGCTGGTTGCCAAAATCTACCGCCAGACCTAATGAATCAGAATCCTTAGTGATGAAGCCTGGGAATATGCATTTTAAAAGCTCCCCAGATTATTCATATTAAATTTAAGGGAAAACAGTTATGGACAAAAGGTAAATAAATAATAACTTCTCAGGGAAACACCTTTCTAGTTTACTAAAATGAGATTGTATTTAACAACTCCTTTACTGGCAATAGTGCCGGAACTAGAATGCATCATTCAAAGTCCTTTCCATCGCACGATTTCATAAAATAATAAAGGATTTATTAGTAATACATAATAATAACTATTACTAAGAGGAATATGCTATAGTTCTTAAAAATTTGAACCAATAATCTAGTCATTTACAATTAGATTTCTTTTTCTTTTTTTTTTAATAATTGAAGAACCACATGTAGTGGGTTTGTGTGTCCTCTGCTATGGTCTAGTACACAGCAGTTTCATCACAACAAGGGTCCCCCACGTTGCCCTTTTATAACCACATCCACCTTTATCCTCTCCCCTTATTCCCTGGCAGCCATCAATCAGTTCTCCATCTCCACAATTTAAGGAATGTTATATAAATGGATTCACGCAGTGTGTAAACTTTCAGAGTTGGCTTCTCTCACTGAGCATAATTTCTTGGAGTCTTGCAGGTTGTCGTATGCACCGGTCATTCCTTCCTTTTTTATTGCTGAGTCATATTCCACCACATGTACACACCACTTTGTTTAACCACACTTACTGAAGGACATCTGGGCTGATTCCAGTTTTAGAGTATTACAAATAAAGCTACCATCCACATTCCTATATAGGTTTTTGAGTGAAAATGTTTTTTTTCTCTGGAAGAGATGCCTGAGAGTGTCACTGCTGAGTCATATGGTAGTGACAGGTTTAGTTTTTAAAGGAACTGCCAAACTCTCTCCCCGAGCAGCTCGACCGTTTTATACCCTCCACCAGCAATGTGAGAGGATCTGGTTTCTCCGGATCCTCACCAACTGTTGGTGTGGTCACTGATTTCATTTTGTTTTAATCCCTGCACATTTCAAAAATGAGAAGTGATATGTATCAATATAAAGATATTTATGATTTCATCCTGGACTTAGGATGAGAACATTTAGGCTCCTGTGCCTTTTCCAGCACTTACTAACATGGATAAACTTTAACTTAAAACTTATGATAGGTTCATGGAGGTTAGTTTTATATATAATAGTTTTATATATGTGTGTGTGTGTTTTACAGTTTTATAGTATATATTTATAGTTTAGTATAGTTTATACTATAGTATAGATTTATAGTTTATAGGATGTGTTTGTACAGTTTTATATACATGTATATATACGTGTGTGTATGTATATGTGTGTGTCAAACATTCATGGAATTTTTATTTATTTATTTTTAAGATTTTTAATTTATTTATTTGAGAGAGAGAGATAACTAGAGAGAACATGAGCAGGGAGGAGAGGGAGAAGCAGGCTCCCATGGAGCAGGGAAACCAATGCAGGACTCGATCCCAGGACCCGGGGATCATGACCTGAGCTGAAGGCAGACACCCAACCAACTGAACCACCCAGGTGCCCCCATTCATAGAATTTTTAAAGAGGACAAAACACCTCTCATTATACATCTCAAGAATTCCTTTAGATCTAAATGGAGAAAGACAGAGAACAGAAGTATTCTATGAAAATATAAATGTAATTTTCAAAATACTATAGAATATTAGACACCTGTAAAAATGTTTCACCTACTTGAATCTTCAGGTCCCACATACTCTCCACTCCAAGGGTTGATGAGTTCAAAGATCTAGAGTCCAACATCCTCATTAAAATTTTCTCCAAAACCCAAGTAGTCATGAAAAGCTACCAGTCAGAAGCTAGGTTTAATAATCAAAGCACATGCACTTTTTTTTTCTGATGTATCACCAGCCACAAATCATGTATACATACGTGTATATAGGGAGCCACAGAGTTAACTAGGCCATTATTTCCAGTCACCTAGCTCATGCCAAAACATATCAGCTTGCTTGCTTTCCTTCCTTCCTTCCTTCCTTCCTTCCTTCCTTCCTTCCTTCCTTCCCTCCCTCCCTTCCTTCTTTACCTTAGTGACTTGTGGTTTTGTGTGTATGTGTGTGCTTCTTTTTTTTTTAAAGTTTTTATTTAAATTCCAGTTAGTTAACATACAGTGTCATATATTAGTTTCGGTGTACGATATAGTGACTCAACACTTCCGTATATCACCCAGTGCTCATTGCCATAAGTGCAATCCTTAGTAAGGGGTAAAATTCAATCTTGACTCAGCACAATGGTGATTTATACAGCTGATTCCCAACCTCCTCAATTGGTGTGTGAGATAGGGTTAGAGGTAGGTCAAGATACTGGTTGCCTCAACCTCAGGCCAGTCACCTCCAGGTGCCAGTAACCCTATCTGTTTGCCCTAGTGCTTTACAAATTATCACTCTCTTTTATGCCAGATGTGAAAAACATGGGGAAATACCAGTCTATTCATTTTTCTCCCTTGTTGGAGAACATTTCTGCTTTGAGACTACTACAAAGATGGGTTCGGAGGCAGTAAATAAGGGATAGCAAAAATACCCAATTTATTGTCAGTCCCTTTGTATTAATTAGGGTGAAAATGGGTACTGTGCATGCTCCATAGCATACTTTTTATAAGAGAATTAAATAATCTCTAAAATTCCTTCTAGCTCCATGAACTGTAACTAATTACTTTACTGAACAGACAAATAAGGGCAACATAATGTAACAATACCATATATAAGTATATAAGATATCATATAGCCGGAGGCCCCCATCACTTCTCTCACAGTGGTTGCTGTCAGAGGCTTGCATTTTGCCTCTCTCTGACTATCTCCTCTAGCAGATATCTTTCTTTCTCCTCCTGCCAGGACTTCCTTCTCATTTTGCCAAACTTAGAAAATAAAAAACAAATCATTAGTGCCATCCCGGAAAAAAGGTAAGATAATTGGCAGTAAGTCTTTAAATCCAATGCACACACAAATGGGATATCTTATCATACAAACTGAGGTATTCAAGCAAAACATACAATTTTTTTTGAAATCAAAGAAAATCAGTGAAATGATTATAATATGCAGAGAATATAATATCCATTGACACTCCATCCTACAATTTCTTTCATTTGTCTTTCTGACTTCCAATTTGGGAAAGAAAGGGATTGAAAGGGAGAAAAAGGTAGGAGCAAAAAGCAATGGAGATGAACAGGTACCTAAAACAGGGCCTCACACATACTAGGTGATCAATAAAACAGGTGTCAAATGAACTGGATTAATGGGCATGAAAGGTAAGAAAACTCTTAAAATGTGGCAGTGGGGAAAAAAGCATGAAGGTGTTAAACAATGGCTTGAACTAGGTGTTTGTATCATCAATACTTTAATTATATATACATGAAGCTCTTGAATATGAATGTTCCGTTAAAATAGGAATAGCAGGGGCACCTGCATGTCTCAGTCAGTTGAGCAACCGACTCTTGGTTTCAGCTCAGGTAGTAATCTCATGGGTCAGGAGATGGAGCCCCGCAGGGTCTCTGCACTCAGCAGGGAGTCTGCCTGAAGATTCTCTCCCTCTGTCCCTCCACCAACTCGTGAGCACACAGGTATGCATAT